AGATACCCCCCCCATCCAGGACAGTAACATCACGGAGTTTCTAACCCGTCTACCCCTCCCCAAAATAAACCACCACCAAATAGAACAATTACTCCAACCTATTACTCTATCAGAAGTACTCCAAACAATAAGGAACCTCCCCCCAGGAAAAACCCCAGGAGCAGACGGCCTACCAAACCTGTATTATAAAACTTTGGCAGACATATTAGGCCCTAAACTTGTCCAAATATTCCAAGCAGCTTCTGACTCGGGAGAACTCCCTCCTGAGATGCTACTAGCAACTATAGTTACCCTGCCAAAACCTGGGAAACCCCCGGACCAATGTAAAATTTTTAGACCTATCTCCTTATTAAATACAGACGCTAAGATATACGCAAAAATCCTGGCCTCCAGACTGGGTAAAATCCTGCCCTCAATCATAGACGATGACCAAACAGGGTTCGTGATGGGGAGACAGGGGTTAGACAATACACGAAAACTGTCCCTAATTATGGAAGAATTGAGAAGATCAGGCCAAGGTGGGCTACTGTTAGCTCTGGACGCTGAAAAAGCGTTTGACCGCCTAGGTTGGTCCTTCTTGAAACAAGTCTTATCGACATTTGGATTCCCACAACAGTTCATTCAACAAGTATTCGCCCTATATTCACACCCAAGGGCTCAGGTACTACAAGCAGGCTTCAAATCAGACCCCTTTCGCATTACAAACGGCACCCGACAGGGATGCCCTCTGTCCCCACTGTTGTACGTACTGGCCCTGGAGCCCTTACTAATAGCCATTAGATCCCATCCAGACATTGCAGGCGTAAATTGGCACGGCCGCCAAATCAAGATTAGTGCATTTGCGGATGATATCCTTCTATATGTTTCCCATCCTGTTACCTCCCTACCACACATAATGCACCTTATCGAGGAATATGGTGGTCTCTCATACTACTCCTTAAACACTTCCAAAACACAAGCATTAGGGTTACGCCTAGATCCCCCAGCCCTCACACAGCTACGTAAAACCTACCAATTCGAATGGCGCACGAACGATATTAAATACCTAGGCCTGACGTTCACCAAAAAAGCTTCCGACATGTTCCCAACTAACTACACCAAAGTATGGAATGAGTGCCTGACCTTGATAAGGGGCTGGGAAAAATTGTTCCTTACTTAGACGGAACGAATTGTGGCTATTAAAATGTCGGTACTACCGAAACTACAATATGTGTTTCGGAACCTCCCGTTAAAGGTACCACAATCTTACTTTAAAACCATACAATCGAAGCTACTGCAGTTTACCTGGGGAGCAAAACGGGCGAGAATTTCTTGCAAACTACTATCCGCACCAGTGAAACACGGGGGCATGGCGTTTCCAAATGTAAAAGCCTACTATCAGGCGGCAGCCTTAACCCCTCTATTAACACATTTGGTGAGGAACAACCAACCACAATGGGTACACCTAGAGAACCTAGCTGTTAAGCCCTTTGCAATCCACATCCTGACATGGCTGCACAAATCAAACAGACCAACTACACCGTTACTACCATTACAAGTACAACTAGCGTTACAGATTTGGGACACGCATAGGAGGAAGTTTGAGACAGCCAAACCCCTCTCCATGGCAACTCCCATAGAAGCCATAACATACTGCATCCCAACATTTCACGCAATGCCGTGGAAGGACAAGGGAATCTTACACCTAGCTCAGGTCTTTGAATCAGGCAAGCTGATGGGTTTTGACCGTCTTAACACGATCTTTAACCTGCCACACACATCAAGCTATTCATACATCCAACTTAAATCCTTTCTACATACACGTAATAAAGATAGTAGAAATGAGACTACAATTGCCAGTGCGCTATCGACCTGGGAACAAACAGGCATCACAGGCAAACTACCCCAGACCTTCAAACCCTTATCTGGCTGCTACAGACTTATTCTACCATACCAATCCCTTTCTGACTCCACTCCAGCACACCAATGGGAAATGGACCTCCAAACTCCCATCACTGAGAAACAGTGGTCTTCTATCACATCTTCCACTAGAAAATTGATCAAATCTGCTCCCCTTATAGAACAACACCAGAAAACAATATATCGGTGGTATATGGTGCCGCTACGTATACACAAACTGTATCCCACTGCGTCTCCGACGTGTTGGAGATGCAAACAAGAGAAAGGCTCAGTCCTCCACATTTGGTGGAAATGTCCACGCCTAATCAGGTATTGGGAAGACACAGGAAAAATCATTGCAGATACTACCACCATCCACCTACCCTTTGACCCTAAGACCTTTTTACTGTTAGATATACCCAGAGAAACACCCACACAAGCGAGAAAATTAATGTACCACGTCCTGCTAACCGCACAAAAACTGATCGCAGACACCCCTAGCATTCCTGCCCTCATCCAAGACATAGACAAGCAGGCTATTTACGAAACAAGCTTTTCCAAAGCGCAGAATAGCACCAAATGTAGTGGTAGCACATGGGAACAGTGGCGAGCTTGGAGAAACGCTAACGCACAACACGTACCCACCAATCACAACTTAAAATAACAACTCAACTAACCACAAAAGCTAAACGCAGGTAGACTGGGGGTGGCAATCGCCTCAAGAATGTGGGGAACACTATTACGTCTGAGAGTAGTATACAGCAGACTGGGACCTAGGAATGGGTAGTAAGCCTGGATAGTCGGATCATTTGTACTGTGATGCATAAAGAGATCAACCGATTACTGTGCGCTGTTGAGCCGCCTCAAAGGCCTGCAAATGTCAACTGTCAATTGTCAATTGTCAATTTTTATATATTCCTAACCGACATAGGATTCGATGTAAAGTGACTGTACCCCCCCCCCCTTTTTCCCACCTCCCTTCTCTTTTTCTGTACCCAACCCCACCCACCCCTCGTTTTTTTTCTTTTTTGATGTGAAAACCAATAAAATACAAATTTCAAAAAAAAAAAATACAGAGCTCTACTTTGCATATATTTTATGGTTTAATGTTTTTTTGTTTGCGTTTTGGGTGAATTACACATGACAGTGTGATAGAAGCTGATTTCATCAATATTACTTACAAATGTATTTATTTATATTGCTTTTTGTATTAGATTAGCGCTTTACACCACATTTATTATTCTTTTGAGTTATCTGAAAATGTCTAGACATCGTTTCAGCAGCTCAATATTAAGTCTGAATACCAAAATAATTGACCCAGAGAACATGAGTTGCAGACAAATTATTTTTGTAACCATGTTTTCAGTGTTTTCAATAGAAGCATTTAATATTTGACATTCTGTTGCTGAATACTATTTTGCAACATTTGAAGGACAACAGTTCTTTAAATAGAATGCAATATATAAACAAAACATGATAAGGATTATTTGTCAAACAGAAAATAAAACTGTGGCGGACCCTGTCCTATCCCCATTCGGTTGCCCGTATTCCCCTTTGATTTCACTGAACAAACAGTGTTCCCCTGGCTCTATACCTTTACCCTCCCGAATTTATCCAAATGCTCGCTCCCTGGCAGTAGTTCTGGCTTATGAATTTGTGAACAGGCTTCAGCGGTACTTAGTCGCAACCGCTATGGAACACAAATTGGTTATGTAACTTAACGGTTCCCGGTCACCTTGACCCAGTGTGATAACCTACTTGCCGACCTGCCAGGAGAGCGCTAATTGGAGGGAAGGTGCTATGGACTATGAGAAACATTCGCTCCCTGAGAGCGGGGGCCTCCTTTTGTTTGACAACAGGAGCTCCAAATATTTGACCGGCCAAGACCACTTTCGCTCTAGAAGTATTTTGGGCTTCTCCCATGTGTGTGGCCGGTCAAAACTTTACCCTATTGGCAATTTGACAATTCATTATGGACTTTTTGGACAAACTGTGCACTCGGACAAGAGCTATCTGAGGATGTATGACATGTGGGGTTCCTGTGTATTTTAACTGTGTTTTGGGGGTACTTATATGGTTTTTATGTTTGGCTCTCGGTATCTGGGAGATGATTAACTTACTGGTCTTTGACTCAATTGTCTCCCAGACCCAGAGACGCCTGGACAGGGATTCATATGGAGACCCCATGTTGGAGTCTGTGCATAAAAGGCTATGTTTGGCTCAATAAAGTCCGTTGTATTCCCAGAACTGTGTTTTGTCCAGTTACTGGGGGAATGGGCTATATTCACTAAGCAGTTCTTTGTTCCAGCTTGAGAGGATTTTGGCAGTACTTGCCTTTCATACTGCAGTAGTGCTGGTTTTCCCAAGGCTAGGAAGCCATCCCACCGCTTGCCACCAATGTAACAGAGCTGCCTGTACCCCTGGCTGGGTACCTCTGCCAAGGACCGCTTCTTGCTGGAACAGGGGACCAACCGCAGCACTTCTGCCCACAGTTGTCGTGGCTTGACTGGGGCCCTGGAACCCCTCCTTCCTGGAGCCGTAAGGAGAATTAGCTCTAGTCCTTACAAGGACTTTCCCTGTTGAATCCCCTGCAAGCTGGAACAGCAGACACAGGAGTAAATCTTCTTTCCCTCCAATAACAGATCAACACACAGTTTTGGAGTGTAAGCTGGAATAGATTATAATGGTGATACAATAAAGAAAAAAGGGGGGGGGGGTGATTAGCGCACACAGAATAAAATGAATGTTACCTTACGTTAAAATAATGTCTCAGGTAATCATACACATTAGGTTGTTCTTGTAACCTATATACAGGTAAATAAAACAAACGGACAAAGAGGAACACTTTAATTATAAGGGTGTAAGTGGGGCTGTGGTCATAGCGGGCCTGTTCTCAGACATGTTAGGTGACTTACTAATAACAACTAAAATGTAATGTTGCACTAGAACAATGTATCCTTTTTACACAGACTGATTTCAAAAGTAAGAGTTCCGAGAACACACTTACTCAGCACTTATATAG